TTTATAAGTGCATGCATGTTTATAATTACATCATGTCCACATCTCAACTGTCACTTCCTCATGAACAAACTGTCACTTCCAATGGCTGTGGATTCAAACACAAACTCAAGAAACGCATAGAACTACGTACACAGGAACATCCAGTGTTGCAAAACACATTGAAGGAACGAAACGACCCCAGCCGCACCCGCCGCACAGACGAGGTGAGGTACCTTTCATCGTCGCCTGCAGCCACTTTACACGGAAAAACACAAGGTTTCGTGCTCCGGCTTCCTCCCCAGAACAAAGCCCATGCAACATTCATGCAGCCATTCCAATGCGATCTGCAAACACAAACTCAAGAAACGCATAGAACTACGTACACAGGAACATCCAGTGTTGCAAAACACATTGAAGGAACGAAACGACCCCAGCCGCACCCGCCGCACAGACGAGGTACCTTTCATCGTCGCCTGCAGCCACTTTACACGGAAAAACACAAAGTTTCGTGCTCCGGCTTCCTCCCCACAACATAGCCCACGCAACATTCATGCAGCCATTCCAATGCGATCTGCAAACACAAACTCAAGAAACGCATAGAACTACGTACACAGGAACATCCAGTGTTGCAAAACACATTGAAGGAACGAAACGACCCCATCCGCACCCGCCGCACAGACGAGGTACCTTTCATCGTCGCCTGGAGCCACTTTACACGGAAAAACACAAGGTTTCGTGCTCCGGCTTCCTCCCCACAACATGGCCCATGCAACATTCATGCAGCCATTACAATGCGATCTGCCATTCCTCACCACTTCCCATCGTCACCACTTCCCTTCCTCACCACTTCCCATCGTCACCACTTCCCTTCCTCACCACTTCCCATCGTCACCACTTCCCTTCCTCATCACTTCCCATCGTCAGCACTTCCCTTACCACTTCCCTTCGTCACCACTTCCCTTCCTCACCACTTCCCTTCCTCACCACTTCCCATCGTCGCCACTTCCCGCCATCACCACTTCCCTTCCTCACCACTCCCCTTCATCACCACTTCCCTTCGTCGCCACTTCCGTAACTCGGAAGTATTGCTTCCCAACTTCCTTTGATTAGATTATGTATTGTTATATTATGTATTGTTTTATGATCTACCACCCTTCCTCAAGGTCAATTTCATAGCTTCTTATTCTTTTGTTATGTAATGGTACATTATGTATTGTTATATTATGTATTGTTATATGATCTACCACCCTTCCTCAAGGTCAATTTCATTGCTTCTTATTCTTTTGTGATGTATTGGTACATTATGTATTGTTACATGATCTACCACCCTTCATCATAGTCAATTGCACCAAGTAAAAGTCATTCGTAACTCGGAAGTATTGCTTCCCAACTTCCTTTGATAAATCACCATTTTCCATAGCTATGTTTTGTTCCCAGAGACCCGGAGAGACCCACCTGACTTGATGCCAACAGGCTCTTGGCGGCAAGAAAAGGGTCGCTGGTGCCTTTCCATTCAGGCGGCGAAAACGCACTGAGGTTTTGGGTCAAACATACGGGGTATCTGTTTGGAGAAATGGCTGGTCACTGTCAGTTTCTGACATATCCAGATTTCTGAATGATATTCACCCACACCCAGGTGGAAGGGAGCTGGTCAAATCTGTGACCTGTGTTGTCATGTGGTCATTGAGTGCAAATGAGGCCGAGCCAAGGTGGCAAGAGACTATATGACTTGGCCAGTGTGCAAGTTCCAAAAGATACTCCAATTTTGGAATTGCGTGGACAGAGGATCTAAGGAATCTAAGCTTCTGACTGTAGAGCTGACTTGTAGCAAGTGAATCACTTAGTGAATCTTACAGTATGTGATTGTGATACGTTCGAATCAAATTATGCTCTCTTCCTGTCAGAGAAGCGCAACATGAGACTCCAGCATCAGCCATGAGTTTGACCCACCTGAATGTAGCAGATTTGTGCGTGCTGAAGCCGCACAATTTGAGTGTCTTTGGTGGGCAATGCAGTAACACATAAAGCATGTCTTTGCATTGGTGTCTCCAGCCTAATGAAGTGACCCCCACCTTGCACACAAAGTTGTAAAATAGTGATTGGGAATGCTGGCCCTGTAATGTAAGAAATTGCGAATTCTCATATTGATAGTTGCTTGTTAGTTTCCTTGACTGAATCAAGCATATAGATGCATATAGACCATGCTTCTGGATCTAGTGTTCGTAACGATAAAAAAATAAAACGCACAAAACATCACAAACCTGTAAAAACTGGACAAAACAGCTGTGTTTGACACTTGGGACCCTCAGGCGAACAGGGAAGACCTTTCGACCGCCAAGCTGGGTGCTCAAAGAGACGGCCAAGAGTGGGGCTTTCTTATTTCAGGAATCCCCCTGGCAGCATATGGGTGTGTCTGGAAATGGGGCATACCCCAAGAATGGCTATCGATCAAAGGGAACATGATTTAAAATAAGTATCAATCTATGAGATTTTAATTAGCAGTTAATTAGCAGGTTCCATTTCGAGACAAACCTATCTGGATATATCTGGATGATGAAACACTATTCGGCTTTCGAATAGCCAGGTTCCCGGACCGAACACCAAACCCCACTGCAGTGTGGCCCCCCCCAGTTATAAGTTGGTTTATAAGCCCCAGTAACTATGGTTATAAGTACCATAAACCATAGTTATTGGAGTTATAAACCAACTTAGCTATCTTGGGGGCTTCATTTATGATGGTGATCTCAGTCATATCCCTCTCTGTTTGATGGTTCAACCGATTGACTTTTCTTGGGTTTCTTTAGGGATGGCTCCCTGTGCCCCGTGTAATAGGTTGGAGCGTAACAGAGCATTCTAACTTCTAACTCTAGGGTGGTAACTAGCCCATTTATCATATTTTGGCCGTGGGTTATCCCCACTATATGGTGCCTGTATACCGATATGCCTCAATATGATTCTTCTGTTTGCCATCTCTCAGACTTTCGCTGATTACAACGTCAGTGTTGTTGGTTTTATCGTTGCCTGATATCCCGCTGTTTGCCAAGTTTGAACAGTAACTTGGTAAAAATACTGGTTTATCATCATCATTCATCATCTATGATCCCAAGTGATAAGTACCATGATCTTATCATCTATCATCCCAACTAATAGTTTAGAAGATCTTAGAAGTGCCATGATCCTAGAAGGGCCTTGCGATTGGGCCCCGACCTGGCCGACCTCGTAGGTTGTAATCCTGGCAGTCTCAGCCAACCGAGCTAACCAGTTCCTATGCACTGGCCCCACTGCAGTTCCTATGCTATTTCTAATTTCAAAGATCAATGATCTAAAAAATGTACAGTTAGTCCATCTAAGTAAGCTAAAAAATCAAAGTTCTAAGATATTCATAGATATTCATAGATATTCATAGATATTCATAGATATTCTAAATATATATATATATATATTACAGTGAAAGGTTGTGTAATTCCCATTGAACGGCATGAATCATGCCCGCAAAATTTAATATCCTCAAGGATCCTTTCAGTTGAGGAATTGTATATATATATATATATATATTTGGGATATGTTGCTAACTTGGGCTTTGGAAGCCGAGTTCCCACCTGTCACCCTGTCACGTCACCGCGCTTGGAGGTTGGACATTAGCCACAATGACCTGAGACTCACTGGACCTCATGGGTGCGACCAGAGGGTATCTTTGATCAATGGCCATTTCAGGAACCTAAATTGGAGGTACCTACCATATATAAGGCCTATTTTTGAGGCCTATGTTTACGGGAATATCCCAGCAAAATATGGCCAGAAATATGGTACTAACGTACCTCCATCTGTTGGATCCTGAAATTCCCATTGACTTGATGGGATTTTATGGGCTTTAATGGGATTTAATATAAGAGTCCACTTCATGGAATATTATATATATATATAGCCTCTGGTAATTTGTTACAGTTTGCGAACTTGAAAATGGCCCAGTCGAAATAGGTGATTTCCCCAGTAATAGCATGGTGATTGTCCATAGTTTTTTGCAAAACGTTTACCAGAGGGTATATTAAACAATGTATACATTTCTATATGGCCATGGATCAATACCTAGAAATGCCATTTTTTGATGGATGAACATCCAGCTATACCAGCTATTCTTATGTGAACAGAAGGGGTACAAGGTTTTGACCCATCCCCATATACGACTGTAAATGTGTACATATATCTATATATATGCTATTTTAATATAGATAGGGATGTGTACATGATTTAAATATTATCGAGAGAGAGAGAGAGATACATATGTATAGATGTAATATATAAAGTATATATATATGCGCAATATTTGTTTTACATGCAATATATATATAATACATGTATATCTACTTTACCCATTGTCGTTTGTTGGGTCTCATTCTTGGTGCCCGTCATCCTTGTCTCTGCAGCGTCATTCTTTCTATCCCCTTGCTGATTTTGTTGCTGAATTCACCATGCGCCATTGAAGGTCCATGTTTGCTGATTTTGAACTCCCCAAACTTCATCCATCTAGGTAAATTATAGCGACCTCACTGTTCTCCCTCACTGGAATCATGGTTTATAAGGGGAATCATCCCCAAATGGCCGAAGTATTCCGGTTAGTGAAATATTGTAATTTACCCAGATCCATGACCATGACCCTCCTTTTCTCCATCAAACTTCATCCTGCTTCACTTTGTGGATGATATTCGCCAGAAGGGATGGAGCTGAAACCTGTGGCAGGTTTCATGTTATATCCCATCAAGATGGGTGGTTCCGTATATGGGGGATCCCCAGGGATGGATGCTAAGGGTACCCCCATTTTAAGAAATCTCCATATGCTGGTTGATGGTTTCGATCTGTATTCTCGCCATCTCTGCATAGAAACATGCCTCCAACACGCTCCAACTGTGATTCCTGTTTTTTCGGATACGACTTGATGCCCGTGGCGACCCTTGTCATGGGTGCCATCCAATTTTTAGCCATTTTGGAGCTCAAACCTGGCGCGACTGTGCCCGGCTGTGCTGATGATGGAGCAAGTGATTCTGCACTTTTCGGTGAAGAATACTTTCCTTGACGTTCGCCCTGTCGAGGACGAGATGTAGCAAGTGTCATTCTGAAGATCTGATGTGTTTACTGTTAGATTCTTAGAATCTATCGGAAGAATACGTAGGATATCTATCACGAATCTGTAAGACAACCAAGAGATTGCAGAGTGCTGTATGAAACTCGATGAAACTCCTTTCTTTGGGCCGAGACAATCGCGACTTGGCAACCTGTATCTGCCTTGTTGAGGACGTTCCCCCGATGCGGAGAAAATCCTGGAGCTCGGGGGATACGGGGGATCCCACGGGATTCATCCTCGGTTTGTCCAAGGCCGCGAATGGACAGGAGGTTACCCAGGAGGTTTCCCAGAATCTGCCAGAGATCCACGATGAAGATCAAAGCCCTAGCAGCCCTAGCAAGACGCTGGCAAAACATCGTGCTGGTAGATGCAAACCATGCGTGTCTGGGTGATTGTTTAGAATTGTTTAGAGTCATACAGTCATACAAGGCTTTATTTTTTGGTTGCTCAGAGAATAGCGACGAATTTACTCAACATGTTCAAGAAAAGGCTGAAGGTTTAGCTGGCAATCAGCAGATCAGCAACCCCGATGAGCTATGACGACCTCACTGGTTCATGTTGCCATGACATGCCATGACCAGATGTGTTAGTGACTCAGCCAAACCCAGGTGTTTTTTGCGAGCGTTCATGGATGCCCGGATGCCACATGCAGTTTCTGCCACTTGGCTCATCAACCTCCTCCGAAGCAGCGACCGGAAAAGCGGCTGCGGAATGAGTTCAAAGCGGCGGTGCAGACGGTCTTTCAGATGGAGGACGTGACAAGCCAAACGAATCCAAACGAAAGATCTTGTAATGATGGCATTGATGGCTTTTTTCCAGGGGAACTCTCTGTTACTGAAATTTCATCCAAGATGTTCTGGATTCTCATGGCTAGTGGATGCAGTGAAGGCTTGTGAACGTTCCTGAAAAACAAACAAACTAAGTGAATGCTGTTTCTGATTCTACACACTTCGTTGTACCATGGGCACGATGGAGACGAACAACAGGTACCTGGTTTCCAATCAGTTCGGACGACCAAAAAAATGTTAGTTGTCCCCATCGAAATTAGATTACAAACGCTGCTTTAGAACAGTCGACATTCGCTGAATAAACATCCGAGGTTTTTTCTGATTTCTGCAAGACAAAAACTAGAGGACCACCAAGCGCTGCGCCTGGCCCTGAAAAACTTGGCACCGCAACACCCGTACTTGCACTGGTACATCATCGGGCAGATGGACATGTGTTTCGGCAAAAAGCAGATAGAATCTGCCAGAAGGATCCAGAAGGTCATTGTTATTCACTGTTGGATTTTTGAGGGTTTTATTCCCGAGAGCGTCTGAGCGCAGGGTTCTTCCAATAGTGGGGGTCTGTATCTCATCTTCTCATCTTCACACCTTCTCATCTTCACATCTTCTCTCACACCAACTCATCTTCACACCTTCTCTCACACCTTCTCATCTTCACATCTGCTCATCTTCACATCTGCTCATCTTCACATCTTCTCATCTTCACACCGTCTCATCTTCACATCTTCTCTCACACCTTCTCATCTTCACACCTTCTCTCACACCTTCTCATCTTCACATCTGCTTATCTTCACATCTTCTCATCTTGACATCTTCTCATCTTCACATCTGCTCCTCTTCACATCTGCTCCTCTTCACACCTTCTCTCACACCTTCTCTCACACCTTCTCATCTTCACACCTTCTCATCTTCACACCTTCATACACCTTCTCATCTTCACACCTTCTCTCACACCTTCTCATCTTCACATCTTCTCTCTCTCTCACTCTCTCTCCTCTTTCCTCGTTCCTTTCTCTCTCTCCTTTCTCTCTCTCCTTTCTCTCTCCCTTTTCTCTCTCTCGCCTTCTTTATCTTTCTCTCTTTAGGCCGAGGGTGGTGCCGGCGGGGAGTCACGAAACGTGAACCCTTTCGCGCGAAATGAGGATCGATCGTCAAAAACTGAGGTAAAATTGCGAGTTTACTTGTGCCGGAGCAACCCTTTCACACGAAATGAGGGTCGATCGGCGAAAACTGAGGTAAAATTGCGAGTTTACTTGTGCCGGAGCAACCCTTTCGCACGAAATGAGGGTCGATCGGCGAAAACTGAGGTAAAATTGCGAGTTTACTTGTCCTGGAGCAACCCTTTCGCACGAAATGAGGGTCGATCGGCAAAAACTGAAGTAAAATTGCGAGTTTACTTGTCCTGGAGCAACCCTTTCGCACGAAATGAGGGTCGATCGGCAAAAACTGAGGTAAAATTGCGAGTTTACTTGTGCCGGAGCAACCTTTTCACACGAAATGAGGGTCGATCGGCGAAAACTGAGGTAAAATTGCGAGTTTACTTGTGCCGGAGCAACCCTTTCGCACGAAACGAGGGTCGATCGGCAAAAACTGAGGTAAACTTGCGATTTTATTTGTCCCCGAGCAACCCTTTCGCACGAAATGAGGGTCGCTCGTCAAAAACTGAGGAAAAATTGCGATTTTACGTGTCTGTGTGTAAAGCGTCCGTGTGTAAAAGTGTTAGTGTGTAAAAGCGTCTGTGTGTAAAAGCTTTTGTTTGTAAAAGCTTCTGTGTGTAAACGCGTCTGTGTGTGTAAAAGCGTCTGTGTGTGTAAAAGTGTTTGTGTGTAAAAGCGTCTGTGTGTAAAAGCGTTAGTGTGTAAAAGCGTCTGTGTGTAAAAGCTTTTGTGTGTAACTGTGTGTAAAAGCGTCTGTGTGTAAAAGGGTCTGTGTGTAAAAGCGTCTGTGTGTAAAAGTGTTAGTGTGTAAACGCGTCTGTGTGTAAAAGCGTCTGTGTGTAAAAGCGTCTGTGTGTAAAAGTGTCTGTGTGTAAAAGCGTCTGTGTGTAAAAGTGTCTGTGTGTAAAAGTGATTGTGTGTAAAAGCGTCTGTGTGTAAAAAGCGTCTGTGTGTAAAAGCTTTTGTGTGTAAAAGGGTCTGGGTGTAAACGCGTCTGTGTGTAGAAGCGTCTGTGTGTAAGAGTGTCTGTGTGTCAAAGTGTTTGTGTGTAAAGGCGTCTGTGTGTAAAAGCGTTTGTGTGTGAAAGCGTCTGTGTGTGTGTGTGCAAGCGTCTGTGTAAAAGCTTCTGTCTGTAAAAGCTTCTGTGGGTAAAAGCTTTGTGTGTAAAAGTGTCAGTGTAAAAGTGTCTGTGTGTGTAAAAGCATCTGTGTGAAAGCGTATGTGTGTAAAAGCTTCTGTATGTAAAAGCTTCTGTGGGTAAAAGCTTTGTGTGTAAAAGGGTCTGTGCGTAAAAGGATCTGTATGTAAAAGCGTCTGTGTGTAAAAGCTTTTGTGTGTAAAAGTGTTTGCGATGCAAACTATTGTCTTGCACTTCTGCTATTTTGTCCATACTCCTCTTCTCGACTGCATATAACACATCTTTAATATATTGTTTCTAATATGGTGTCTCCATACTAACAAGAGAAGACCCTGCTCCTCTACGCTCTCGGGCCATCCGTCGTCTAGTTTTTGTTAGTTTGATAGGCCACCGTTGGATTTTTCAGGGGTCAAGATGTGCTGTTCACTGGAGGTATTCACAGCGCGCCGTTGCCAGCCGCGAGCTTCATTGACGGATCGCCGCGAGCTTAGGGTTTGACTCGTTTGACGATTGTCTCAAGAAGTCTCCAGATCGTGGAGGTTCAAAGTTTTGTGGCCCTTAAGAATGAAGCTTCATAACCCTCATCGCCTTCAATCTCCAGTGGAAGGTTGATGAACTTGGGGTTGCCAAAATATTGTGCACCTGCAAGTCTTTTGAATTGACTAAGGCATCTGTCAGAAATGAGGCTTTCCGAAGGTTGGCAGTTGGCAGTCCGCCAACAGTGGCGTTGCCGAACAGGCCGTCTCTGATCGAGGTGTGGTTTGCTAAGCTATCCCATGGGGTCTTGTTGGGGACCCCGTGGAGGACAGGCTTTCCCTGACTGAAAATGACAGACATCCTTTCCCTATTTTCAACTTCATTCAACTTCCTTGCGTTCCTTGGAAATTTCCGTTGGGGAAGGTTTCTGCTGTCCCAGCAGTCTCGATGCTGCAGGGCTGCCCGATCCTTTTTTGCTTTCAAACTCTTAAGAAAAGATGATACGCAGGACACTCTGGGAAACACGGCTGGAACATTGAGAAAAATCAATGAAAATCAGCTGTCAATTGAGATGTGCGTGTGCGGCCGGTACGGCAGCTCACCCAAACGGGTGATCCTGCGCGCCGTCGCCGCAGAGCCCTGTTCGATCAGAGGGTCAAAAGCTGGAGCTGCCTGGAGTAATCTAAGGTTCCCCCATTTATCCATGTATAATAATATGGTATTAATAATAGATGTATCCAATACTATATATATATATATATATACAAATATGTGTGTAACATATATTGTATACGGTGCATTTATATTTGTAAGCGTTCACATGTGTATGCAACCAAACAGGATATACCAGACAGCCATGGTTCTATGCGCACATTCGAACATGGGGCTCTAACTACAGCAATCATGGGTAGAAAAAAAATACATACTGTAAACTGACCGTGTCTAGGAATCCAGTTTTGTGCCCAACTATCATCATTTTTTGATAGCAAGATAATTTTAACAGTTTATCAAAGGAAGTTTCGAAGGAAGTTTAGAAGTCAAACTTCCGACAATATGGACAGATGAAAAGCAGAGGTGGGAAGAGTCAGAGAAGAGAAGAGAAGAGAAGAAGAAAGAATATCAAAAAAGAGAAAGTCTCAGAAGAAAGAAGATCCAGGTGTGCGAAAAGGTCGTAAAGTCGCGAAACACTGTGTTTTTCGAATGATTTGAGGCTCCGGAGGGTCGAAAAGTAGGCTCGCTAAAGCGGCGGATGCGGAGCCATCTGGCCAGATGAGAGATGAAAAATTGCACGCCGTTGTGGCGCGAAGCACATTTCCAGGTCAACATGTACAAAACACACCAGGTTCGGACCACTTTTGGAAGTTGCGATGTCGGAAAAAGTGCACGCCGTTGTCGCGCGAAGCACATTTAGAAGTCCAAATATACAAGGCACACCAGGGTCGGACCACTTTTGGAAGTTGAGATGTCGAAAAAGTGCACGCCGTTGTGGCGCGAAGCACATGTCGAAGTCAAAATGTTGAAAGCAACATGCTCGGACCATTTTTTGACGTGCAGATGTCGCTTCGCGTGGCAGGCGCAAGGGATTGTGCACCTTGTCAGAAGTGAGCAAAACGTGGGTTTTGTAGTATTTCCTGGCAGGCGTGTGACATTTGAAGAGGATCTGCAAAGATGCATTTTCCGTGGCAGGCGCAGTACAAGAGACATCTTCATCAGAGCTGTTAGGAGGTCAGGGCGCTGATTTCCTGAGAGGGGTTGCATTTTGGAGCATCAGATCTTCAGGTTTGCTGAGATGATTTTGCGTGACAGGTGCAGCACTTCGTATGACCTGGCATCACTTTTTCGTGGCAGGCGCAGTACCTTTGACAGGTGGAGTTGAAATTGAAGGACCGGATAACCCCACAAGACAACTTCTGCCAATAAGGAAAGACAAAGGAGGTGGTGGAGGACCGAGAAGTAGAACAAAGTTGTGTGTGACAAAGTTGTATGTGAAAGATGGTGTGTGACAAAGACAGATGGTGTGTGTGATAAAGTTGTGTGTGACAAAGTTGTGTGTGACAAAGTTGTGTGTGAAAGATGGTGTGTCAAAGATGGTGGGTGACAAAGTTGTGTGTGTGAAAGATGGTGTGTGGCAAAGTGGTGTGTGAAAAATGGTGTGGCAGAAGATGGTGTGCGACAAAGTTGTGTGTGAAAGATGGTGTGGTGAAAGAAGGTGTGCGACAAAGTTGTGTGTGAAAGATGGTGTGGTGAAAGATGGTGTGTGACAAAGTGGTGTGTGAAGAATGGTGTGTGACAAAGTGGTGTGGGACAAAAGTGGGGTGTGAAAGATGATGTGTGACAAAGTGGTGTGAAAGATGGTGTGTCAAGGATGGTGTGTGAAAGATGGCGTGTGACAAAGTGGTGTGTGACAAAGTTGTGTGTGTGAAAGATAGTGTGTGACAAAGTTGTGTGTGAAAGATAGTGTGTGACAAAGTTGAAAGATGGTGCGTGACAAAGTGTGAAAGATGCTGTGTGTGTGTGACAAAGATGGTGTGTGAAAGAGGGTGTGTCAAAGATGGTGTGTGACAAAGCCGTGTGTGAAAGATGGAGGGTGACAAAGTTGTGTGTGAAAGATGGTGTGACAAAGATGGTGGGTGACAATGTGGTGTGTGAAAGATGGTGTGTCAAAGATGGTGTGTGACAAAGTTGGGTGTGAAAGAGGGTGTGTGAAAGATGTTGTGTGACGAAGATGGTGTGTGAAAGAGTCTTGAAAGAGGGTGTATCAA